TAAAGGGCCAAAGGCAACAGAGACCAGCGTGTAGGGCCTTCGGTGAACACTTAAAGAGCAACATTTAAAACTAAACACAAAAACAAGCAGCAAGCTGCAGTGAGTCTGGGCACCCAGAGCTGGGGGACCCCTGAGGAAAGGGACATGGGAGGCCATTTCTTTGCCATCCAGCGTGTCTCAGGGTGACCTTATCTACTTGCGCACCGGCTAGGTGCTCTGATGGCCTTGGTGCTGCGCGTCAGAATCTGGCACCATCGGGAGGCACTGGCCCAGCACGGCTGGGTCTCCTCTCGGGACCAGTTAGAGAACTAGAACACTGGCGAGGACCTAGTTTGTCTCTCTGGACATTTTAAAGATTCCCACTCTCTGAGGGTGGCACAGTACTGGGTATTTCACTGCCTCGCTGCCTGGGGTGCCCAATGCTTGCGGGCAGGCAGGCACCCAAGGCCAAGAGCTTTCCTGGAGAGAATTCCTGGGCCCAAGCCACTGCTGGGAAAAGGAGACGGGGTAATGGAGCAAGCTGGGACCAGGACCGGGCAGGCAGCGAAGAAAGGGGTGGCTCCTGCAGTGTGGGCAGAAGGGAGCGGACCTGCTGGGGAGTTACAGTCTTGCAGGTTGGGAGCAGCCACCTTCACATGGACAGGCCCAAGGCAGCCAGGGTACAGTGACAGTGACAGGCTGCAGGCCAGGTGGCTCTAGAGAATGGGCCTGTCCTCCAGCGCCCCTGACATCCTGAGTCCTCTCCTGGCCTGGATGCGGTTTGGATGATGTCCCTGAGTTGCCACCAACTTAGCTCCTCTGACCTGGGCCACTCTTACTCAGTTATGACAATTTGACAGAGGCATTTTGTTTGTTTGTTTTTTCTAAGACAGGGGATCAAATCCCGGGCCTTTACAGACATGCCCGGCCCCCTTCTTTTTGGAGACAGAGTCTCACTAAGTTGCCCAGGTTGGGCTCAAACTTTTGATCCTCCTGCCTCAGCCTCCCAGAGTGCTGGATTACAGGTGTGCACCATATGCCCCACTAGAGATATTTTTATGTAGAGCATTTTTCATTTTTTCTTTGAGGTACTGAGGATTGAGCCCAGGGCTTCATGTGTGCCAGCCAAGTGCTGTCCACCGGGTGATATTCACTACCTGGTGGACATCTGGAATGACATTCCTGGACAGCCCTGGCCTCAGCCCCCTGGGGTCCTGGGGGGAGCTGCCCATGCACTGGCTACACTTGCTTACTGTAGGACCTACTGCTTTCCACCCTTAGCACAATGTCCACTTTCTCCAAGGACACACTCTGATGAGGAGCTGAAGGAGGGAACTGCGGGATTCTATCAAGGCTTTTCAAAGTGCAAGGAGGGGTCTTCTGGAAGGGTAAACATGAATAGCCTCACATAACTTCACATATGCAAAGGGATAATAAAAATATTTTTCTAATTTTATTTTTGGTTACTTCTTTAAAATTTTTTACTAGTCCATATTAGGACTACATAATGATTCTATTCATCATGGGGAGTACTTAAGAATCAATGTAAGCCAAAAATGTAGACAAAATCCTGGCAGATGAGAACACCTATTACCAAGGGTGACTGAGGATGATTTAAAATAGGTTAAAAATGCTGATAAGTGTGAGTCTCCACAGGGAGCATTTCTTTTCTCTGGGCCTCTGCAGGCTGGGCACTGGGGTGCAGGAGGGGAGGTGGGAACACTGATTCCCAGCTCCAAAATGTACAGGAAATCTTAGAAATCAAATAATCTCCGCTTAATTCCTCCAGAAATGGGTAGACATCATACTTAAAATCACACAACTCCTTGATAAAGAATTATTCATTTTTTGGGCCAGGGATTTAGCTTAGTGGTTCCGCTGCCTGCCTTGCAAGCACAAGGACCAGAGTTCGATCCCTGGTACCAAAAAAAGAAAAGAAAAGAAAAAGAATTATTTTTTAAAATCTTTTATTTTAAAAATATATTTTTGGTACTGGGGATCAAACTCAGGACCTTGTACTTGCAAGGCAGGTGCGGTGCCACCGAGCAAAATCACCAGCCCAATAAAGAATTGTTTTTGGTACATCTTTTTTTTTTTTTTTTTTTTTTTTTTTTTTTGGTACCGGGATCAAACTTGGGTCCTTGTGCTTGCAAGGCAGGCCACTGAACCACTGAGCTAAATCCCCAACCCAAGAATTGTTTTTGGAATGATGGATATATGTTGGCGGTACAGGACCTAAAAGCTGCTAATCGTGTTTTAAACTTTTTTTTTCTTTTTGGTACCAGGGATCAAACTCAGGACCTTGTGTTTGCAAGGCAGGCAAGGTGCCACTGAGCTAATCCCCTGTGCTAAACTTTTTAATGTTATTTTTTTCCTTGTTTTTTTTTTTTTTTGCCCTATTTTACTCTTCCCTTTTTTATTAGTTAATATTTGTGTTACACAATAAATACAATCGTTGTGGGGAACTGGTATATATACATCTAATTTAAAAAGCAGCTGAAAGTCAAAGGATATACTCAGGAAAGTGAGAATGAAGATGCTCACGTACAGGAGGGGGTCTAGGAGAGGAGGGCTGCCCACGCACTCACACGCACGCACACACGCACACACACGAGGAGTGAGGGCCCCTCTGCCCATGCTGTCTAAGTCTCTCGATGTCCACGGGCCCAGCGCAAAGGGGACTCCAAGCGCTGAGCAGGAAGAAGCCCTACGGGGATCAGGGAGCGGGGAAGGAGGAACCGGCCGCTGGGGGCGGGTGCGGCAGGGAGCTGGGCGAGACTTCTGCAGAGGCTGCTGGACCACATCCGGTCTGCTCGCTCTTCACCGTGCTGGGCACGGAACCCAGGGCACAAAACCTGTTGCCACTGACCTGCACCACCAGCCCCTCTGAGCTGCTTTGAAAAGAACATTTCTTTCCTTTCTTCCTACTTTCCCTCCTTCTTTCCCTTTCTTTTCCTTCTCCTCCTTCTTTTCTTTTTCATTCTTTTGAGACAAGGTCTAGCTATGTAATCCAGGCTGGCCTCAAACTCACAGTGATCCTCCTGCCTCGGCCACTCTAGTCCTGGGATTATAAGCGTGCACCACCAAGCCCAGCCTTGAGAGAACATTTCTTACTGAAAGTCATGAGCACTTACGGAGGAAAAATCTAGAAGAACAGTAGAAAGGAAGAAATTAAATCTACCAGTAACCTCACCAAGTAGGATAGTTTATTTTGTTTGAGCATCAGAGGACAATCTCTTAAGTGGGCACGAGAGGGAGAATTTCTCCTCTACTCCATATACTGAGGAGTGGGTGTACAGGAGGTGTGTGTGTGTGCGTGTGTGTGTGTGTGTTTACACATACATTTATACATATACATATTCTCAAAGCAAAACTATGATCACAGATTACTGAGCTTTCTTCGAAAACAGCATCACAGCGTAAGCATTTCCCTGTATCATGAAATGCTCTTCAAATTAATTTTTCTTAACAGTGGAATAATACAATAATACTGGGGTTTACAAACACTGTGTTTGCAAACAGTTCACTTCGCAAACAGATGCTAGGCAAAATTTTGCGCCTGCTCTTGAACTGCACCTTGAGTGACAAACTTGACCATAGACAAGTATCTTCCCTGGAACCGTGGAACGAAACCAGAGGGAGAACTGGGATAACGCTGTATTCTTTTGTGCGAAAATGTCCTCATGCATTTATTTCATCTTCGGGAAATGGTTGGCTGAATGTTGAGATTATTTGTTTTGGCTGGAAACTGAGTTCTTTTCTTTCACCCCCACCAGTAGCCTGTGGGGCAGTTTTAACCAATGAAAATGTGCTGCTCACTATACCTGGGGTAACTGAATCTCTTGGAATTCATTTTTTCCTTGTAAAAGGGACTAACAATACCAGCTTTATCACCTCCATCCCGCTATGAGCTCCTGTGTGCAGGACACTTCGTTGTCCTCAGGAGTTCCCTTGAAGAGATTCCAGTGGCTGTGGAGGCCACCAGCAGGGCTGGGAGGAGGAAGGGCCCGGGTGTGGGTGTGCCAGGGTCCCTGGAGCAGGAGATGCCCAGGCCCCTGTGGACCAGGCCTCCGTGGGCCTCGTGGGGATCTCTAGCTTTGTGCTGTGAGAATCAGTGGACTTTTCCAAAAGGAAGTGTTTTGTCAGAAAAGAGCAAGGCCCAGGGCTCCACCCGGGGGACACAGGAAGGAGAAAGGTGTTAATGAGGGGCACAGGAATAGCAGCTGAGGCAGAGGACAGGGAAAGCAGGATTCTATACAGGCAGAGAAGTCGGACATTTTTAAAAAGGAGGGTTAAGGAAATCCAGGTTGTTTCCCCCAGACACTGCTCTGGGTTCTCTAAAAGGGTAATCTCAGCTCTGCCTGCCTCATTCCACGTTACTGAGAATCACTGTCACAGTTGGGAATTATGAAGTTAAATCATAAAGATAGAGAGGCCTTACATGGATGAGCTAATCATTTCCCAGTTTCCTTACAATAAAAACAAGATGAATCTGAAGAAAAATAAAACATAATTGGAAAACTGAGGCCATTAATTGTTTCTGGATGCTAAAATCTATAAGAGCTCAGAATAAATTAACCTTTGGAGTTGTCAGAGTGCACCCTAAAGCCTGCTGGATGCCCCGGGAGTGTTCTTAACACTCAGGGGTCTGAGGGCTGCAGAGGCTGTGGAAGGTGTGGCCTGGGCCTGGAGCTGGGGAGGCTGTGGCAGGCTGACCTCTGGTCCATGTGCCCAGGACGGATAAAGCAAGAGAGGAAAAGGGAGCAGGGGCAGAGGGGCAAGAACACAACAGAAGGTGCCAGCCCGAAAACAAGCAGGGACCATTGGACACCTCGATGCCTGGAATGACTGGTTTTTCACCACTTATATCTGTTTTGGGAAAAGGCTGGAGGGAAAGGATGCAGCCCCTGCTCTGGTTCTGACACTGTCTGACAGTGCAGGTGGCTGTGCTCGCGTTCCAGATGAGGGCCCTGTCTTCGTACAGCCTCTCTCCTCCAGGGAACCCCTCCCATCTCTTCCAGCTGCCCAGGACTCTCCTCTGGAGAAGCCGTCTGTGCTCAGATCAGCCTCATCTCCTTGGCCTCCCGTCTCAGAATCCCGCACTCCTGCAGTTGGAAATACTAAGTCAGTGCTGGAAGCCCACGCCCATCCCCTGGCTCTGGGCTTGGGGCCGAACCCTTCTTCCTGCTCGCTGTGGGCTGAAAGCAGCTGTTCTCTCCCAACCTCTTCTGAACCTCAGTTGCCAATATTGCAGTCCCGGGGGGCCCCTCAGGAGGCGGGGGGCATGGGGACGCCCTAGCGCACCCTCCCAGGACTGGGTGAGCGCCGTGTGGGCAGTGGGTTTGTAGTGGGGCTGCCCTTCCTGCTTGTCTGTCCCCCACACGCCTGCCTGTCATCCACGTCACCAACTGGCCCCAGATGTTGGTGCCCTCAGCCTCTAGAACTGTGCCCCAAAGAAACGCCTTTGCTTTATAAATAAACCAGTCTCAGGTATTCTGTGACCGTAACAGGGAATGGACTAAGACACTTCAGTACCATCTTCACCAGCCCAATCGAGAGCCAGGCCAGCCCATCCTTGCGTGCACGTGACAGCAGCAGTTTCTCAGCACCCACTGGGTCCTCTCGGAGCTCCAGAGCCCTGAGTAACTAAGGAGAGCCAGTGAGTGGTGCTTTGGCTCAGGTGTGGGAGTGGGGTGGGGGTGCAAAGCCGTATGCACTGATCTATAAGGGGGGTCCCCAGGCTCACACCCGCCATGTGCCAGTGGCAAGACCTGTGGCCCTGAGTGTCACTGAACCCCTCAGTGCCTCTGTTTTCTGCCCTAGAACATGGGGCTCTTTATGAAGGTAGCCCAGAGCTGGCCAGCATGGACTAAATACCACAGAAGCAACCAAGGGGGTCCCTAAGACACTGTACGGCATAGCTAATACAAAATAAACGATGAAAATGTAAAACGTCACTGAGCTCTTACACTGGTACCAGCTCTCTGGGGTGAGGCTCCGGCCCGTGCAAGTCATCCTCACGGTTTCTCCTTTTGTTTGCCACAATTCTTAAAACCGCAGTTTCTCTTGCTCTTTGCCTGATCCCAGTCTTTCTCCCTTACTTCCTCAATCTTATCCGAGGAAACCAGGGAAACAGCTGCTGCAGATGGACCTGTCGCTTCCCTCCTCTTTTTGTTTTGAGACAAGGCTCAATATGGAGTCCAAGCTGACCTGCAACTTGCTATATAGCCCAGGCTGGCCCCGAACTCAGGATCCTCCTGCCTCAGCCTCTGGAGTGCACCACCACACCTGGCTACCTCCCTCCTTCATTCTGTTCTTTGTTTACCTTACCAGCAGAGCCCAAGGGCCTCAGTCAGGAACATGAGACAAACCTGTTCACCAGCATCAGCACTTTCCAGCATTTCCTGCCTGCTTCTACTATAAAAATGTAAACTGGAGCCACACACAGTGGTGCAGGCCTGCGATTCCAGCACAGTGGTAGGCTGAGGCAGGGGGGTTGCAATTCTGAGTGCAGCTTAGCAAAATCCTGTCTCAGAATAAAAAAGGGGAGGGATATAGCCTCAATCTAAAGGCGCTAGGTTCAAACCCCCATATTCAAATAAAAAAGAAAAACATAAATATTGCTAAATGCTTCCTGTCAGGACTACAGCAGTTCACAGAAAGCATATTTTACTTCTGAAACAGAACCTAGCAGCCAGGGGCTGTCCTGTGGTTTCTCCACAGTTTAAAGCAATATCGGACACCGTCAAAGTCTCTCCTTTCACCCTGCCGGAGAACTAAATTACAGAACCCTGGTTTCTATTAGGGTGTGTCCAGCACTTTCTGTGCTGCCAAGCCTTCCAGCTTTACAGTCTGCACACTGGTGAATTTTCCATGAACAGGCTCAGCTCAAATTTATTCCCAGGAAATGGTGCTTGGGAAACCCAATATGAACGTGAAGATTGCTCTAAAGTCGCACAGAATGTGTGCCATGCAGTTGCCTAAAAAGAACATTTCTAATGTGAAAAAAAAAATGCATTTTTATGCCTTAATAGAGGGGTGGGTGAGGGTATTCACTCTTCTTACTTTTTTCCGAGGGAGGTGTTGTGGAAAGTTATTTACAAATTGCACTTCTCTACCTTTTCTTTTCTTCTTTCCTCCCTCTTCCTCTCCCTCTCCCTACCCCCCTCCGTCCTTTCTTTCCCATACACGCTTGGTAAGTGCTCTACCACTGAGCTGTACCCACAGCCCTATCTTTTCATTTTTACACTTTGCAGACTACAGCCCAAACACCCACCTACACAGGCATTTTGCATAAAGATTTGGAAGCCAAAAGACTGAAAAACAAAACAAAATTATTTATATAGTGTCTTTACAGAGATTTAGACGTGGATTCAAATGGGAGCCGATGCAACTGACGGAAAGGAATCCGTTAGAGAAAAGTGTTAACAGAAAGTGAGACTACGGTTTGGCTGACAAATGAAAAAACGGGGGCTATACTTTTTTAAAAGGAAAAAGAACACGGGGAAGACAACTTTATACACCGCACCTCCTCTCACACACAACCTGAAGGCTTTGCCCGAGAAGCCACCCCACCCTGCTGGGATTCAGTTGGGTAGGGTTTTCCTCTCCCTAACATGGCTACAAATACCTAGATCCATTTCTACCCAGTGCCTTTCTGGACACAGGTCAGCTGCTGTCCCCTTATCAGTCAGGATGGAGTCCCTGGTGCAGAACCGAGGCCACGAAAGTCACCTTCAACCTGGCAGCCTCCACTTCCCCAAGGAGGTCTCCATCAGGAGCAGCTCGTTAACCAGGCCCTGTGCTCTGTGGGCAGGCACAGCCGCTGTCCCCAGTGGAGTTCCCGCTGCTATCACACGGCTCCCGGAAGGAAGGGCTTCCTCCGGGGTAACCAGCCGGCAGGGGCACACTTCGCGCCAGCCCCTCATCCGAGGCCTGCACCAGAGGCTGGTCACCGAGCCCTCGCTCCACTCGGAGCATCTGAACGACGGTCTAGCTCCCGAGCTCCTCGTGGGCTTGGCCAGGCTGCGGCTGGGTCGTCCTGCAGCTCAGCTTCTCCCGCCTGGTGCAGTCCCTTCCTGTCCCTCTCCTTCCTTGGGTACTGATCCAAAAGAAGTTCTAAGCAAACCTTGTGTGCACTGACTGCCACCTCAGAGTCCGCTTCCAGGGGACACAATCTGTGACAGCATCTACCACACACTGAGCAAGCCCGGCCGCAGCCCTCCAGCCCTGCCCTTGGGGACAAGATGACACTGACCGAGACCAAGCCTTGCCCTGAGGGTGTTGACTAACAGCCCGGTGTGTGAATGACCCGTGCCTTTGCCGAGAACCCAGGGCAGAAGCAAAGCTGGGAGGTCAGACTCCTGCTGCAGTGGCCAAGGCTGCTGCCACCAGGGTCTGTGTCCACTCCCTCATCCTTCCAGGCCTGGAGGACAGAATGGGCTGCGTGCTCGCCTCTCTTTCCATTCCCACAACTCCTGACAGGGTCCAGGGCAGTGTGAGAGACGCTGAAGGAAAGCTTTGGCTGTTCAGCTCTAGAGGCCGAGTTTCCGGCTGCCCAGTTTCAGCGTCAAGTGCTCAGGAGGCCCCCCGAGGTTCTTGCTCGTGGACCACACCCAGGAAAACCTCGGAAGTTTGGGGAAGCACCAGACGCTCTCCGGGTGGTCAACAGCGTGCAGCGTGGCCAAGGCAGGCGGTGCACATGTGCACAACAGGAAGGGAAGTGGGAAGGTGACTTCTAGCCAGGTGGTGCATCACCCCCAGGCAGGCCCGCCCTCGCCTGGCCTGTCCACCAGCATCCATCTGTCTGCAAGGGTTACTCAACAGCCGTGGGAGCCAGCAACCCTAACCTCACCACCCCCAGAGCCCGCGCACCTGCAGTCTAAGGAAAAGACCCTGACCCAGAGCATCGCTGCCAAGAATACCCAGAGGACGCGCTGTGTCCCCTGCTCTGCCCTGCCTCCCGGGCCTCTCCACACGGCCGCCCTCACCCAACTCCACATGCCACTGTCTCCTTCTGCTCTCCTTCTCCTCCCCTTGCTTTCTACAATCTGCCACCAGCTTCTGGTGTTGATTTCTCTAAAATGCCATCTTTCCTCTTCTGCCTCGGTGCTGCCATCCCCTCCAGTTCCTGCCTTTCCCCGTCGCCGCGGGGGGAAGCGTCAGAAATCTCAGCTCTCCCCTGGCTGCGCCTCTGTGCAACCATCCTGGGGGTTCCCCAAGTTTTTCAGACCTCCTTAACCTCAGCCTCCTGTTTCCCAGGACCCCTCCTTCGCTGCTCCCCACCAGCTGCCTTTGCCCAACCCAGTTCTGACCCCGAATGTCACCCTCCTCATGGCCACTCACGGGCTCTACCTGTCTCTTGTCACTTTGTCCACATGGGGAGCCAGGACGGGGGTGGGGCAGGAAGGGCAGAGCGAGAGGTCTGCCACCTTCCCGGCTCTGCTCGCTCCCGGGTCCCCCGCCACACATGGACCTCTGTTCTGTGGCCCCTGCCCGGGCCCAGCCCCGGATGCCCATCCTCTGGACTCTGTCCGACCCTGCCCATGGTGGAAGCTTGCCTGCCCCCGGCTGGGGAGCCCATCCTGGTGTCCCAGCCAGGAGGCAAACGCTGACACTGTTGACAGTCGCATCCCTGTTGCTCCTTGGAACAGACTCTCAATCACTGAGTTAAAACGCCACACTCCGGGATTCCTGGAGCTGGATGGATCGTGGGTTTGCCGAGGAAAGCTTGCCAAGTTGGGTGTTTGGAGTGAGTCCAGGGTTCCACAAGCCCTGCCTCTTTGCTAATCATGGAGAGAAGCAGAAGACGATGGAAAGAGAGGGGGCTGCAGGCAGCAGAGTCGCAGAAGCCTCCCCCTGTGCTTTCTAAAACACAAACCCAGGCACAGACTCCACCACTAGCCCTGCCCTTCCGCCTTCTGCTGCTGCAGGTGTCTATGAGACCTGCGCTGCACGGTGGGGAGGTCTCAGGACACTCTCGAAGCAGGGATGGTGAGAAGTCAGTGGTCTGGGAGACAGGTGACCAGGAAGGCGACCCGTCACGGGAGCAGGGGAAGCGAGGAAGGCACCTGTCCCAGTGCAGGCTGCGGGAGGATGGGGTGGAACCTCCCCGACCTCCCCCCAGGAAACCGGAAGCCCCTTCCAAACACAAGCGCTCTCCACCCCCACGGAGAAGGCGAGGGAGGATTGGAGACAGATCTCAGCAGGAATCAGGAACGTGCTAACCACGGCGGCGTCACATCTCACACAGGCCCAGTGCTTCAACTCCCTGGCTCTGTTATTTAGTATTCTCACAAATAATCTAAGCTAATGACAACCCAAGCAACAATTCCCCTATAACTGCTCACACGTCACCCAACCCTCCTTAGCCCACGGAGCGCTCCCTCACCCCATCCTACAGGGAAACTGAGGCAGGAGATGTTAGTTCACTCCTCCGTCAGGTGGAGACTGAAGCTAAGGTCTCTTAAAATAGCAAGGCCCAACTAGTGGCTTTTGCTCAGCTCTAAAGCCCAGGGGATCTGACATCACGGCTTCCTACCAGGTAGGGGCGTGCAGCACACGCGCCTTCACACCTGCTCCACGGCCTGCCCCGGTCACAGACCGTCCACCCGGAGAGATACAGAGGCCAGGTCTCTTGTAGGGACAAAGGTCAAGCCCTAGGATAACACACTTGTCACTTCTCCTGCACCTGGACGGCCAAGAGATCCATTTGACACTTGACAGGAGGCCTGGGAAGCCCGGCGGAGACTCGAAGCCCGCCCCGCAGGAGAACAGAACCAAACGCAGCAGGCAGGCCAAACACCAGCAGAACAGTTTGTACCATAAGTGAAAGTAACTGCTCACCTCGCACAGCAGAGGGTAGAGAGGCAGTGGCGAAATGCAAACAAATGTGAACGCTCCGGAGAGGCTGCCCGCCAGCTGTCGGGGTGCCCGGTCCCCAACACCACGGAGGGGGAGGAGACTGCGGGGCGGGGCGGAGGAGCAGGGCCC